CCACACTACCAGCATCTCAGGGGCTCCAGATTGCAGACAGTCTGTTGTGGTACTTCTCCAACTCCATAATTGCACAAGCCAAGTCCTTCAATAAAATCCCTTTCATATGTCTTCCCTTTTCTTGATATATATCCCAGGTAGACTCAAATTTGGAATTCACCTTCAGAGTGAATCTCATAGTCCTATGCCACCACAGCTGGCTCCATTCTATATATCTTATATATTTTATTTATTCTACAAATCTATTTACCCTATTCTATTTATTTATGTAGCTTATTCTATCTTGCAGGAGAACCTTAACTCATACATTCTCTTTCCTTAACTTCATCCCTGAAAACATCTTCCTGCTTTAGTCAAGGGGCTAGAAATCAGCAAGACGAAGGAGGAAACAGTAGGCTCTGTGTGATAGGGCATCTAGCCACTGGAAGAGCCAGCCATGGATTTGCAACAGCAAGAAACACAAATAACACCCACAGAGTTCTGTTATTCCCAATAGAACTGCTAGTAGCGTCTGTAAGTTAATGCCCAAACTGCCTTTAGAGGCAGAGGTTCAAAATAATATTGCCTCTTTATAGAAAATGAAGTGCCTGCCACGCAGCAGGATGACCTGAGTCTGGCACAGAGCTGACTGAGGTTTAGGCAAGCTGACTAACAGTGCACATTGCCATTCTGGAACTGAGAAATGGTTGTCATTAGCAGCGTCTACTTCGCAGGAGGCATTGTATTTATTTGGTAGCACAATGAAGATTATAGTTTTGCCACCATTAATTTTCCTGGGATCTATAAATAACACCAACAGTTGTCTGCACATCACACAGGGTTTGCTAGCCACTTACATGAAAGAATATGAAGCATGTAGACACCAAAGGTGTAAAGACACAAGAATTCTCTGCCTGCCTCCACATGAAGCTTAGGATGAAAATACTCTTCTTTCCACTTTCTGGATCAACTCTTCCTTTCCATCTCTCTCATTATTCAGAATACAACCTTCACAACACACCCAAGGACTCTGAGCCTCCACCCTCTGGAGGACATGTCTCTTTGTACTTCATGAAGTACACGAAGAGGCTTAGTCACAGGCTGCACATTTAATGTATAGGTGAGGTAGATAAGCTGGGTCCACCATGACTGCTTCCTGGCTGGCTCTTCTACTGGACCACCATGTCAGGGAGCTTGGCTGTTATGACTAGCTCAGAGTTGAGCTGACGGGAAGCCCCAAGCATGTTGCTTTGGAGTCCCTAGAGAGAGAGAGACTGGGCTGGCTGGGATCTCAGGTGGACACCCATGCTACAAAGTAGAGCCCTTCATAGGCTGTCCTCTGGCACATTCACACCACCACTGATGCCCTTCCAGGGGGGAAAAAGTTATTTCTTAGGCTCAATCATTCTCGCCAACATTAGAACAAGGGCTTTCTAAAAGCCAAAATGATGACAAATCATTCTGGCCTCTCAAAGACTGTAGACACAGAAGAAAGACCTGTGGAGTATTTGGGTTCAATTCTGGTCCCATTCACTGGTACAGAGTTCCTGTGTGTGAGGCCTAGACTTTTCCTCTCTGCATTCCAAGAGTCCCCCAAGCCAGCACATGTGCCCAACTGTCATATGATGGCTAGACAGGTGTCCTTGATCTCAGCATAGAGATGGCCACTGGAGGGTGAAAAACAAACAGTTTCAGGAGGACTGAGGCCAGGGCAGCATGCAGAGGATGTGGGAAAGGTGGGTGAGCATGGTGTAGACATAGACAGGTTGGGGGCCAATGGCTCAGACACTGGTGTGTATGTGTTGGAAGCTGGTACATGGCAGCTGTGGAGAGGGTAGCAAAAAATTATTTCTATAGTGCATTAGGAACTGCTGATATTTCTAGAGAATGGACTTGCCTTCTCAGAGAGCTGCTGCAGTAACACAGGTCAGACTTCTCCAGTCTTGTTGCAACCTTCTTTTTTTTCCGGAGCATGCTCACTGATGAAGTTTTGCCCTATAGTGCACATTCTTATTCATTTGCGGGCCCACAGTGGGTCTAACATCACAGACTAGAGGAAGGCAAGGGCTGGTTCCCTAGGTGAGCTGGCAGGGTTCCAGTCTGATACGTGTCCACAAACCTGGCACTCATGCACCATGCTTTAGGTTCCAGCTGAAATGTCCTGTATGTCCATGTATGTGCACACTGGATTACAGATATGTCTCTGCTATAAGGCTGGGTCACATTCCTTCCTGAGCACTGGGACACAACTCTCCACACTGTGCCCTCTGCCAGAGTTGTATCCCAGAACAGAGCCCCCAGCCTCATTCCTGACATACCCATCTGACTCATAGACCAAGAGACAGAGACAGGTCTGCTGGGCCTTCCAGAGGGAAGACTGTCTGAGTTACAATGGCACTTTCAGATCCACCAAAATTCACATCCTAAAAGGGTGTGTGGGGGTAAGAATCACAGCAGGATTTTGCATCTCTGCATGCCAAGTGGGGATGGATATACAAACAGCAAAGCTCTCAAGAAATACCTACTTGGGGATTCTTGTCTTTAGTATAGCCCATTTCAGAACCAAAACCCTAGAGTGACGGATGACAAGGCAAGTTTAGTGCAGCCTTTCCCAGGGAGGAGCAGGGGGAGCCACAGGGACCCTGCTCAGGATACTTCAGGCAAAGAGCTGGCTATGTTCTTTGGAGGAAGGCTAGTCACTGAGTCTCAGAGTCATCATGGCCTTGTATCTAGGGATGTAGGCAAGTGGAAAGAGGCAGTGTTCATGTGCAGAGGTAAGGGTGGTAAGGTAAGGTAAGGTAAAGGGTGGGCACAAATGGCAAGGGTGGTAAGGGTCCTAGTGAATGGGTTTCAGGCCTGAGTCCCAGCCCTGACCATCCTTGACATGTCTGTGAGTCCTTTCCAGAGAAAGGAGAGCTGATGGGGTCCAACACAGAGGAAGTGCTACACTTACCATAAGAATTCCTGAAAGATTATTTCTTAGCTTAAAAGAAAAGCACACAGGGGCTGAGAAGGTGGCTCAGTGGTAGAGCGCTTGCCTTGCATGCATGAGGCCCTGGGTTCGATTCCTCAGCACCACATAAGAAAAAAGATGGAAGTGGTGCTATGGCTCAAGCGGTAGAGCGCTAGCCTTGAGCTGAAGAGCTGAGGGACAGCATCCAGGCCCAGAGTTCAGGCCCCACGACTTGACCCCCCCCCCCCCAAAAAAAGGAAAAGCACACAAACCTTTGGTACACACCTTTTTATAAATTGTAACATCTGTGTAACACAGCTGAGTCCAAGATGTGATGTGGGGGCTTTTTGCACCCTAGAACCTCTCTAGCACTGTGAGAATCCCTGAAGTGACTACTGTGGCTTCTACCACCACTGATGAGTTTTTCCTGCTTTCAACTTCCTGAAAATATTCATTCAGTAGGCTTAATATTCATCCTTGCTTCTCAGTGTAGGAGATTTTTGTTCATTTTTCCATTGATGATGTCCCACTGTGTGAATATATCATGCTGTACCAAACTGTTCTACTGCTGATAAACATTTGGGCTGTTTCTGACTTGGGACCATTGTAATAATGTCTCTACAAATACTTTCTTATATATCTTTGGAAAGCTCTGTCTACTTGGGGGAAAAAAATCCACTGGGTAAAATAATCTGGGGGTTTGGGTTTTTTTTTTTAACTTCTATACAACCTTGTACATGCATTATCTCCTCTGATTTTAAACAGCAAGATAGAGAATCCTCACTCTATCCCCAAGCTGCAGTCAATGCACAAATCTAAGGAAACTTATTGAGATGTTTAGAAACATTATGAATCTTAGACTGTGTGTGTGTGTGTGTGTGTGTGTGTGTGTGCATGCCTGCACATATGTGTGTGTGTGTGTATGCTCGTGTGCACACACGTACATGCACACGTTTACTGTCATTAGCTTGGGAGGGTATCATGATTCCATGGGAAGTTTGTCCAAAGTAAATGTGGTCCAGAATATTTGTGAAAGGGAAAGAAGTTGGTGAGATAGGAGGTTAGAAAAATAGATTAGGGCCACACTTCAGGGTGCCTTAAATGACATGCCAAAGCAGAAGTTTACTCAGTAGTCATTTTTTAAATCAAAGCTCTACTAGCATCTATATTCCATTAACAATATTCCCTGTACCAGCCTCAAGCCCTTGTTTGCTAGGGGAGGATGAGCACTCAGGTAAGGTGATCCATACCACATTAATTTGAGCAGAGTCCAGTTCACTGGTGGGAGAACACATGAGGCATGGGAATGAAGGGTTAAGTCTAAAGCCCTATGTTTATGTTCTAACTCACCTGTCACAAATAGCTGTGGGACCTAGCAACCTTCTAGAACCCATTGTGTCTTTGAGATGTAGGGACAGTCATTGAGCTGTTGGGAACATTAGCGCAAGAAGTACTGGGAAGTGTTTGGCACTCATGATCAGTTGAAATGACTCTTCTGTGATGAGTTCTGTGGTTATAGGATGAAAGAAGGAGATCAGCTCACAGACCATACATAGCCTTGTACTGACCAATGATGGGTATATACAACTGGAAAAAAAACACTCCCCACATGAACAACCTTTGGTAAGAAGGCCTTTCCAGTGTAGCTTAGCAATTCTTATAAAGGAACACCAGAAACTGTGCTTCCCATTGCAGCAAAGAGATAGGATTTAAAACCAGTCACCTTTGCTGAGTGACTCATGGTTAGCGGCTCCATTGTGGACTCTTCTCTGGGTTGGGAGACAAGAAGAGCAGCAGGATTTGGGAGAGTCTCAGAGAAATGAGTGCTGGGCTTGGTGTCTGTGTGGGGAAGGGGGCAAGGACCCTGCCCCTGGTGCCCAGGGTGAAAAGACCGTATTCAAGCCTGGAAGACACCACTCAAAACTGTTCAAGGGAATCTTTTGCTCCTTGCATCAGCAGGGCAATTTGAAGGAAGCCCCAGCAAGCAGCTATGTGAGCTGAGGCTCTCTCACATTCTGCCTTAGAGCCTCAATGGCAACACAGAAGGCAGGTGCATATGTGAGCTCACCTCCACATACAGCAGGGGGAAGATCCCAATCTTGTCTCCGAGCATGCCTTCAGCCCAGTTGTCATCCACTCTCCGGATCACTGTCAAAACTTCATCCTGAGGTTTCCAGAGTCCACCACGTGTGCACACCAAAAGAGAAACAGGAGACTGATGAATATCAAGGCAAAACAAAGATTTTGAGAAAGGAATATTGTTCATTCATATACTGTCGTGAAAAAAAATCAACCTTCCCTGTCTCTCTCTTGCTCTCTCTCTCGTTCTCTCTCTCACTCTCTCACTCTCTCGCTCGCTCTCTCATTCTCTCCTCTCTCGCTCTCTTGTGTGCTCGCTCTCCCCTTTGTCTCTATCTTTATATCTGTGTATGTGTCTCTAATCCTCTCTACCTCCAGCCTCAGTCTCTTTCTCTTTCCTCTTCTCCATGCTATTGGTCATAGCTGCAAAGATTCCACAAATGGAATTTACAATATAGTTAGTTGAAAAATGCACTCCTCTATTATTTACCTAATGAAATAAAAATATGTTGAATTAGAATAAATTCAGTTATGAATAAAATGTTTTAAGTTTCTTGCTCCATCAAAGAACAAAAAGAAAACCCAATCCAACTATATTTATTTAGCATAGTGTGCACATAAAGCTTTGCATAACCCTCTTAAATTCTTTGGCATATCAGACAATACCAAGAAGAAATGCATAAAATGGAACCAGATGGAAGGAGAAAGGAAGAAAGTAGGAGGAGGAGGAGGGAAGAAGAGCTTTCAGGGGAGCTGCAACTTGGAAACAGGCTGTTAGTGATGAAGAACAGACTCAGTGCACTCTCACAGAAGCCCTAGAGACAAAGGACAGTGTGGGGTGAGAGACTGAGAAGAGATGGAGACCAACATGGGGGGAGGGACCACACAGCCACGAGAACAAGAGATGATGCAGCGGCAGCAAGTGTCAGTGGATGGAGACCACCCAGAAATCCCCTGGGAGGACTAGTGTCTACACACTGGCCTGTGGCTATGCCCTATCCCCCTCCTAGAACCACTTTACCTTCATCAACAAGCACAAATCATAGAACCCTCCACCTCAGGCATGACTGCTCAGCTTTACTCTACCTAAACTGCTCTGTCCTCTGTTTTCAGGCATTTTCTAGGAGACGAGCTGGTCCATATGGGGATTCTAATGTGCCAGAAAGCTGATAGCAAAGGGAAGCCTGGTGAAGTGACTTCTCCCACTCATTGATGTCACGGTGCCATTTGCCTTTCCAAGGAAACGCTGACATTTAGAGAAGTTTTTTTTTTTTTTTTACCCCCCCTTAAGTTCAGAGATTGCAATGTTTCAGGCTTATCAGCAGATATCATAAAATTATCTTCGATACAGATGCACTGGAACAGCTGCAGTCTGGGTTGCCTGAAAGGTAAGAGAACAATGCAAGCAGAGCAGGGTACCCTGCAGAGCACACAGAGAGACAAGTCAGAACGGGGCTTCTATGCTGAGAATGTCCTCCTAGGGTCTCTTCTGAACCTACCTCTGGTGTGAGGGAAGGATAGAGAGTGGGGGCCAATACGGTCACCTCTTGTCCATGTCCCCACTCACAGTTTCCCAGCTTTCAGAAATGCCAAATAAAAACTAAGTACTGGTAGCTCATACCTATAATCTTAGCTACTCAGGAGAATGAGATCTGAGGACTGCAATTCAGAACCAGCCTGGGCAGACAAAATCTGAGAGCCTTTCCTTAAAAAATTCATTGGGAGATTTAATTTTTTTATTATAAAAATACCGTACCGAGGGGTTGCAATTACATGAGCAAGGTAATGAACAAATTTCTTATTAAGCATTGTTGCCTCCTCCTTTGTTGCCCCTTCCCATCCTTTCCATCTCCCCCTACCCCCAGCCAAAGTTGTAAAGTTCATTTCTCGACATAACGTCTTGTACATCTCATTGTTGCAATGGGTCCACCTGTATCCCTATTTAAACAATTTGTTTTTTCCCTTCCCCTCCCCAAATTATACTAACACCTTTTATCTCCAGTTAACCAGCAAACATCCAGAACTAGAAACATGGCTCAAGGGTAAAGCACAAGACTGAAAAAAGAAAAAGGTGAGCAAGACCATGAATGCCCTGAGTTCAATCCTAATATTGGCACTGAATGCATGAGTAAATAAATAAGTGCCAAATAATAAGATAATCTGAGCCTCCTTAAGAATGATGCCGAACAATAAGATTATCTGATGCCCTGCTCAAGAACTTATCAGCTAAGGACAGACCAAATGTATTATGGTAGTCCCAGAAGATTTCAACAGAGCCAAAAATATCCTCTCTCCTGGTGACTCTGTAGCATTGCATAACACGCACAATACATTCCTCACCTTGGTGGTGAAGCAAGTGACAAACACTTGTCACTAACACCACAGCACAGCACAATCAGGTGCAATATGTTAGTCATACTTGATAATATGGGCTATGTGACTGCTTACTGTATTGACTCTATTATGCTTTTATCATTATTATATAATGTTAGTTTCTACTTTTTAGAGAAGAGTTTACTGTAAGCAGTTTGCTAAGTACATAGGCAGTAGCCTCAAACATCTAGACACTGCACATCTTGTGTTTACCTCACATCTTAACTGCATCATTTGCTCTTGTTTAATCTTGTGTCACCAGTTCTAGGAGCAGTAGACGATAACAATCACATGTGCTTTTTATGCTAGGTGGATAGAAGGGTGATTTTTTACACAAGGATGAAATCACCCAATGACACATTTACATATTCTCTGCAGTTTCTCTGTTGTTAAGTGATTCATGGCTGTGCATCTTGTTCAAAATAATATTACTGGTCTAAGAATAGAACAGGCAACCGAGGCACTTCATATGGGGCAGACACTCAGTTCTCAGGATGACATTTTATAACACTTTATTCCACCAAATGCTTAACTGTGAGGGACTGCAGCCACTTCTGCCAACTCTCAGAAAGGCCTGCTATCAGAGGAGAGGCACACAAATATCCCTGAGCCTCACTTACCCGCAAGTAGCCCCAGCCCAGGGAGAAGCCAGAGTCTCTCACAGCCGCCGAAAACAGTGCCTAAGACTTCTCTGACCACACAGAAGTAAGGGTCATCTAAGGCTTTCCTCAAACCAGAGATGTTGCAATGAGATACCACAAAAAAAGAAATTAGATTCTGTGAAATTGAAAAGCAAGATGGGTGTGGTGGTAATCTCATCCTGTAATCGCAACACTAAGAAGGTAGAGGTAGGAGGACCGCAAATTGGAGGTCAGCTACACAAGCAGAGATACTCTTTTTAAAAAATTAACTTAGGAGAGGAACATAAAGGCAAAATGCCTGTGTGCATCTGATCATATAAAATAACATTTATCGAAATCTACTCCAGGAAATGGAAACATGTTTTTTTTTTCTCTGTTGCTGTTTTCCTTTTCTTTTCTTTTTGTCTTGTTTGTTCATTTTTCTTTGGGAGGGTAAGAGGAGGGTATAGAAACGGAAGGACAAAAGGTAAACAAATACAGCAGTGGTCATCACTAGACACTATGTTGAAGATGAACTATAAAATTTGTGTGTGTGGAAAACTGGATGAAAATGAGGGAAGCTGTGACACTGTCCGAAAAGAAATGTACTCATCTGATTTAGGTAACTTTAATCCTTCTTTATATCACCATTATAATAACAATAAAAAATGAAAAAGAACATAACATCAGGTTAATTTTGTTTTTTAAAAAGCCAAGATATCCATACTGTTCCTTAATGTGGTTGTTAAATTTAGAGCCAAATAAATAAAAGAAAATAACTATAAATATTAGAAAGATGAATATATAATTTTTTACCTAAAAAGAATAGCATCTAAAATTTAGAATAAGAATTTGAGAAAAGCTACCAATTTTTAAATAAATTCATAAAATCCATTGGCTTTCCAGTGTACCAGCAATAATCTGTTAGAAAATATGATTAAAATTGGCAGGCCATTAAAAAAGTTCCATTTACCAAATAGTTCCATATACTAAAATAAGCTCTAAGAATTAAAGATATGCTATTTTAAAAATTGACTGTTCAAGATGGAAATATGAATAGACATTTAACTTTGAGCTGAGAAAGGTATCTTAAATTATGATAATAAAGATTTAGCTGAAGAAAACCTAAATCCTCTATGTGAAAGGCAATAGATGAAAGCAAAATGTAAAGTAAACTACACAAATACTTACAGAATAAGAGAGATTAAAGGTTGTATATCCTTACTGTATAAAGACTTAAAATAACAGTGGTAATAAAATTTATTTTAAGCATTTAAAAGACAAATAGGTTAAAGGCAAAAATCAGGGAACTTGCAAAAGTAGAAAAGGAAATTGCCATTAAATATATTTATAAATATTATACCTGACTAAAATTAAAATAATTTGCCTCTCCCACCCTAGTATTGGGGCTTGAACTCAGATTCTATAGCACTCAAATGGCTTTCCCACTCAAGGCTGGCACTCTTACACTTAAGCCACAGCTTCACTTTTGGATTTGTGTTGGTTAGAAGAGAGTTTCATGGTCTTTCGTGCCTTGAACTACTATGCTCAGATCTTAGCCTCCTGAGTAGGTAGGATTGCAGCCCTCAGTAACCAGTGCCCAGCTTCTTTTTTGTTGGTTTTTTGTTTTTGCAAAGCTACTGGAGTGGACAGTAGGGAGAAAATAGGCATTTCCCATATGTCAGGCAGTTTGGTAATTTCTATCACATAACAAACTCCTGAACCCCATAATACTCTCTGCCTAGGAACGCAAGCCTAATAAAATCCAGTGTATAGCAAGATTTAACTGTGAAGATGTCCATTTTAATGTGTGCTAAACTAGAATCCAACACACAGCCAATGAGGATTGCTTAAGTTATGACATTCTCCACTGAATAAAATAAACAAACCACTCAAAACAATGCAAGAAAACAAATAATGAAATTAAAAGGGAAATGTCCACATTAAATGTAGAACACCAATCCTAGCACGACTTTCTAGTTTTTAACTTACCATTCACATTATGTGACTTGAGACTGTTTTAACTATGCTGACTTTTCTTATCCCTTGTCCCCAATTCCCCTTATTTAACCTAAAGCTAATGTCTGTATCT